CGCCAAGGCTATGTATCGTAGCAGACAACAGCCCCCGGTCCCATAAAAATTCAAATATGATCCCAAATAATTGCAGGTTCTCATTTTATTATACCTATATGCAATCACACAGTATTTTCTTAGTCTTATTGCATTCTTTGTGACGAAATTTATAAGAAAATATTGCAGGAAATAATTCCTGTTTCATTTACTAAAGCTCTTGATCATTTAGACGAAAAACGCATCCTAGCAAAACAACGAAGGGGAGGGGTAGAGGGACGGAACCTTTATGATAACCAATAAGGACGGAATCGTTTAATTCATTGAGTTCTTTTTTTTCTTTCCGTCCCTCCGTCCTTTTTCTTTATAAGAATGGCTCATAGCGCCGTTTCACCTCAGGGTTAACACACGACAGTACAATGGCACACATCAGCGGGATGCGCTCATGTTCGACGGCTCGATGCGTCTGACTCGTTCTTGGATTCGTGTCTGTCTTTGCTGGCAAGTGTCTAACCAGCTCATGTCTTGTTCTTGATTTGTCTTGATTTTCGGCACGCATGAGTAAGACTTGTGCGGAGGTTTCTCCGACAAGGCTTTGACAATACATTTAAGACGTGCCAAGCACAGCTTTGACCTGGCGGTCGCGTTGATCAGTCGGCTAGTCCATTCTCTCAAATGATACAGTCCACTTAAAGCTCTCCACACCCACTTCGACTGCACGTCCCCCGCCACAGTAGGGTGCCAACTCGGGCCACTCTCTGTGGACAGCGGCAGGGCCGCTCCAAGTTTCGACGTGCAGGGCGACCTTTCAACATCAATACGGGGTAGCGGCCACGACATAGTCCTCCGGGCCGGATCACCGGGAGCATTTCCACCAGGTTTGCTTATAGTGATCAATCACCAGCATATAGGAAGAGATGGGCAAGCCAGACACCAACACAGACATTGAGTCGCTGAAAGCGAAACGCACCAAAGACCGAAGCAAAGCTACAAAATTGCCGAATGATCTAAAGCGCCTCTACACTCAGGTAGATCAAGGCAATCAGAATGCAGACAGACATGAGTTGGACTACACGATAGAACTCGCTGAGGGCCATCTTTCGCAGATGGACGAGCTGAACTCGCAGCTGAGTGAGCTGGGGTTAGAGGATGAATCCCCTCACTACGCGGACCTTCACAGAGCAGTCGGCCTGGGTAAGCGTCTTCTCGCAGACGTAAGTAAGAGGAACGAGACCGCACCTGTTGTGACACAGGTCGTAACTCCTCAGAACCATTTCAAACTGAATTTCACGCTTCCAAAGTTCAATGGAGACCTCATGGCCTGGCAAGAGTTTTGGGAACTGTACGAAGCGTCAGTACACCAAAACAGTGCCTACTCCCCAGTGCAGAAGCTATACTACCTGAGACAGCATGTCGATAGAGCTGCAGCGCGGTCAATTCAGGGTTTGCAGTTGACAGCAGACAGCTATGAGATCGCTGTTCAAAAACTAAAGGGGAGGTTCGGAAAGGACAGCCTGAGGAAGGACACCATCATCGCCAAGCTGCTCAGCCTGCCGACGGTGGCAAGCACCGACAATCTGAAGTCACTGAGACGTCTGGTGGATAATGTGACGACCGGAGTCGCTTCTTTGAAGACACTCCAAGCCGAACACACTGGTGATGTTCTTCTGCCCGTCCTGAAAGGGAAGATTCCACCGCCCTGGCGTCTTCAGTGGGCGAGGCAGCGGGGACAGACCACGGGCCAAGAACGAGGAGAGTTCGCAGAATTTCTCGCATTTCTACAGAAGGAAGTGGGGTATCTCGAAGAGGCCGCTCAAATACCATGCAGCAAGGCTACTGATGACAGCTGTCCAACGGTACAGAAAGCGACAACAAGTGTGCTGAACACCCAGCGAGTTCAGGCAACGCCAGCTCAAAAACCGTGCCCTGTGTGTAAGGGATCCCATCGCCTCGACAAGTGTTCACGGAACCTGGAGATGACCGTCGAGGACCGCTGGACGACGGTGAAGAGAGTAAGGGCCTGCTTCCGCTGTCTCGGACGTCACTTCATCAAAGACTGTAGGAGTGGCAATTGCAGGCACTGTCAGGGTTCGCACCATACCTCTCTGCATCGTCACCAAGCCCCAGCGCCAGAGTCTGCACCTGTTCCTCCTGCCAGCTCTGTTCCCTACAGTCCCGCTGTACTACCTCCCACGCCGGTACCTCCCAACAGCTACCACGCATCCATCAGTCTCCCACAACCAACGACCAGAACCTTCCACTTCCAGACACGGCCAACACTCACATCCCAGCATGCGCTACGCAGCTCAGCGTACTACATCACAGTGCTACATTCAGACTGCGCTGGTGGTGGGGAGAGGGCCACGCGGACCCAAGATACTGAGAGCCCTGCTGGATGGTGGGTCCGACGCTTCTTATATCAGGAAGACGGTCGCCGAATAGATGAGTCTGGATGTCATCGGCTCCGACACATTCGCTTGCGTCGGCTTCCAGGAGAGAGCAGAGGAGCCACGGTCATACGATCGCGTCGCAGTCGACCTACAAAACCGACACGGAGGTGAAGCGAGGAGATTCGAGCTGTGGTGTTGTGACCGCCTGTGCGCACCTCTACCACCGGCCGAGCAGCCCGAGGGACTGGACGAGAGCATCGAGCTAGCCGACGACTTCAGCGGTGGCCAGGTGGACATCCTGATAGGGACAGACCAGTACTACAAGGTCGTGCTGCGGGATTGCGTCGTTCTAGATGAATCCCTGAGAGCACTGGATACGATCTTCGGCTACGTGATCCACGGGAAGGGCACTTCAACAGGACAGTCCACTCGACATGTATACCACTGTCAACAAGTGGAACAGATGTAGGACCTCGATTCCATGGGTAAAACTCCGGACCCTGAGGCTCAAAAACTCCAACGAGAATCTGAGGGAAACTCGCAGGAAGAGCGCTACGGACCAGGACTAGAAGCTGAGATCCCGAGATCCGTCCATCCTCTTGGTGAAGACGTGGTCTTCCAAGTCTTCTGCGACGCAGCCAGCAAGACCTGCTGTGCCGTCGTGCACGCTGCCCACGGTGGGGAGCCTCAGCTGGTGGCGACAGAAGCCAGACTGCCCCCTCTGACAATGGCCAGCAGTCAAAATCAAAGAATCGAGGAATCAGAAGATCCGGCGAAGGAGCTGAAGAACACCAGCCTCTTTCAGGCCAAGAGTTAAGTACTCGACGTGCTCACAGATGACGAACCGAGACCGTCACGGAGCTGTGCGAGTACGGAGGTCCCATCGACTCGCACAACTCACACCAGAGGGCCATTCCTTCCGACAGACTGTTCCCATAGGAAACAAGCGATCAACATAACATCGTGGGTGCTGCGGCTCATCCATAGCCTGCGCTTTCGAAAGGAGCAGCGATCTAACGGACCACCCAGACCCAAGAAGCAGCGCAACGCTCTGTATTGGCACATCAAACTGGCTCAGCGGAGTGCGGAGGTTCTCCAACTCCCTAGTCCCAGTCTTCGTCCGAGTGTGGAGGTTCTTCGACTTCTAAGTCACGGTTCCATCCTGAGTTTCCATCCTGGAGCGGAGGTTCTCCGACTCCAGCAAGCAATCCTACTATCCTGAGATTCGCAAGTAACTACTGTATTGTTGTGTCTTTCTCAGTCATCCATCATTCAAGTATCCTGCTTTCGTTCAACGTTTCCTGTGGCAAACGCATCACAACTTACGTCATTTCCCGACGTCCCGTCAACTTGCATTTTCCTGATTTGCCCAATGCCCAGAATCTTTCCATAATTAGCGAAAAGTCACTCATCGTCGCCACTTTGCCCATTTTCCTCAAACCATCGAACGTTCCCAGATGTGTTACATTGTGCGTTTATTTACTCATGTTTGTAGGTATCATTAGCACGCCAACATGGAGACAATTATGCTCAACGATGACGAGGCCGGACAGTGGCGGATCCAGGATTTTCACTGGGGAGGGGCTGCAGGTCATAATTGGGCGCCACGCCTCGGATGGGCGCCATAGTCGCATCGTATTGGCGCTGAAATATTGGCGCCCAGTGGCCCTGACAAGAGGCGCCCAGGATCAGTATGTACAGTGACACCACACGATTGGAAATATCGGTGCGGAGCGTACTGAAACGACGTTATTCGACTGATTTTTGCATCCTAGTCCTAGTATGCGGCACTCCGATTAGTTGCGAATTGAAAATTGGCGCCACTGCGCCTTCGGCGCAGTGGCGCCAGTTTTCCTTGGGTGGGGGCTGCCAGCCCCCGCAGCCCCCCCCCTGGATCCGCCACTGAGGCCGGAGACTGGCTGGCGAACCGGGCGGGACCGGACACAGTACTTGTCTGCGACACCCGATCTGCGCATGCTGCAGCCCGTCGCTCCGGACTGTCTCCCCGGTCGCCACTCGGCCGGATCCTGACCCGTACGCGCGTCGGCGCGGCGTGGACCAGCCTGGACTTGGAGCCGAGAGACACTCGACGGCTGGCGTGTCGTCATGGTGACATGCGACTGATACTTGTGTTCAAGAAGAGAAAAAACCTTCGTTTTTTGGTGGGGAGTATGTGGAGTGTGGGCCCCCTGCAGAGGTAAACCGGCAGCTCTGGCGCTGCGGTCGGTGCTTGGCGGCGGCGGCGTTCTCCCCTCCCCTCCCCGTCGGGACCCATCCGCGACAGTCCCGGCGTGATTTGGTGTGCCGCCGCGTAAGAAGTATATTTGTGTTGTTACTTGTTGTCGGTTTTTTTTAAGCCGACATGCGATTAACGATATTCACGAAAAATGAAATTAAATAAGACATAAAAGTACGAAATACGAAAGAAAATGATTGTCCTTGCATCGAGACCCAGAATGTATTCTTTTCATGAATAAATGTAGATCATCACAAATTTACGAGAATGGCTCGTGCATCCGTTCGGCTGGAGCCGTTTATGGCGGCGACATCCTGCCCCCTCGGGCGAGACGAAACGTTTCCCCTCCTTCGCCCGCGCTGCACAGCGCCGTGCGCAGGACATCCTTGCTAAGCTCAGCATGCTTCTTCGAGACGGCAGAGCTTGACCACGGGGCGCACACAGGTCCCGGATCCTGTCTTCAGCTCAACCGAGCGCACGCGGCCGTCAGGTCCCGGAAACAGCTGGCTGACACGGGCGATCGGCCAGCGCCCCCGAGGAGCGTAGTCCTCAGCGATGAGGACCACATCTCCGACTGCGAACGGGGGCGTGTCTCGGATCCACTTCTCACGTCTCATCAGTGTGGGAAGGTACTCCTTTGACCACCTCCTCCAGAAGTGTTCAGCTATCTGCTGCGCTTGCTTCCAGCGCCGTCTGAGGTTGGAACTCTCATTAGAGAACAGGCTGGGAGGCAGACAGGGGTCGTCGCGGCCGAGGAGGAGATGGTTCGGAGTCAGTGCTAAAGGGTCGCCGGTATCGGTGCTGACGTAGGTGAGTGGTCTGCTATTCAGCATAAACTCTACTTCGGCGATGACCGTAGCCAGCACTTCGTCTGAGACGCACCCGCGACCAATAACCACGCGAACAGCCCGCTTCACGGAGGCCACCAAGCGCTCCCAGCAGCCGCCCATATGTGGCCCATCAGGAGGGTTGAAGCGCCACTCGATGTCGTCTTGGGACATCGCATCGCACATTTGTTGTGCATTCCATTTTTTAGCGATTCACGCAGCTCTCGCTCGCCTTTCTTGAAGCTACTCCAGTTGTCTGAGAAGATCCGGGAAGGCCGACCACGGCGGGCCATGAAGCGCCGTAGAGCGAGGAGAAAGCTGTCCGTATCGAGCGACGGCGTCAGCTCAAGATGAACCGCTCGGGTGGCCAGGCACGTTACCAGTAAGATGTACCGCTTCTCGGTGTGCCGGCGCACCCGGACATAAGTGGGTCCACAAAAATCCAGACCCACAGAGCTGAAAGCGTGTCGGCTGTCGAAACGGGCCTCTGGCAGATCAGCCATGAGTGGAGCCTGCGGACGAGCCCGCCGCTTCTTGCAGACGGAGCAAGAATGAAGCAGCGACTTAACGGTAGATCGTGCCTTGGGATCCAGTAGCACCGTCGGAGCTCGTTGAGCGTATGCTCAGTCCCTGCATGGAGAACCTTACAGTGCTGGGCGACGACTATCAGTCGGGTGACATCATGCTTCCTCGGAAGGATGATTGGATGTCTTGAAGCCACAGGCAGCTGGCTTCTCTTCAGTCTTCCACCAACTCGGAGAATCCCTTCTGTATCGACGGTAGGAGTCAGTTGAAGGAGCGAGCTTTGTTGTGGCAGTGGACGACTGCGAGTGAGGGCGGCCAACTCATCAGGAAAGCTTTCCCTCTGCACCTTCAGCAAGATTCGAGTCTCAGCAGCAATCAGCTCAGCAGCTGACAGCGGGACCACTCTGAGCAGTGCTCCCTGTGAGCAGCAGCGAAGTTGTAGACAAAGCGCATCACCCACCCTACTGCTCGTTTGTATAACGCGTCCACGACGAGTAGCGTGCGGGGTCTGGCTGCAGAACGGGCGTGGACAGCGCGGTCACAGCCGCCACCGTTTTCACTTCAGGATCGTCTTCGTCGGGTGGCCGCACACGAAGAGAGGCCGGCCAGTGTTCTTCTGACTCGAGAAGGAACTCAGGGCCGCGAAACCAGCGACAGTCGGTGGTGAGCTCCGCAGCCTGAAGACCTCTTGAACAGTCGTCGGCGGGATTTATGGCACCTGGTACGTGCCGCCATGCATTGGTCAGGTTTGTAAACACTTCACATTGCTTTTGTCGACCAGTTAACCCGCTCCGGGTCGGTGCTTGGCGCAACCTTTGCGGGCCGGGAGGTGGTAAAACACCCCCTGTTTAACTCGGCTCCTGGGCCACGCACTGATTGAACTATGTTTCATTATCGTTGGGGGCGGGGGGCAAACAGGCCACTTTAGGCCTTTGAGGGGGCATAGCCCTAAATGCCCCCTCCCTGCAGATCCGCCAGTGTAAGAGACCATTGGAGCTGGAGGAAGGTCTGCTGGGTGGACATTCAGGACCGGGACCACGGTCTGGTTACGGGTACTTGGACCGGGCTTTGCCATGGCCTGAGAATGAATGAGGAACTTTAACCACCAATGCATACATCGACAGTCGACACCATCACGAGAGTTCAATCAACACTGGCGGGCGCAGCCCCTCGAGGTTAAACTCACCAAGTCTCCAGGCGGCAGCGGGCGTCGTTCTCGTCCTCGCCAAGTGGCAAGTAGGCTCTGGACACGAGACGGCTCACAATAGTGGCTTGGGTACTATGATTATTGTTAGAGCAGACGAAAGTTATCACTGTGCTGCTGCCGCGGTCGGGCTTGAGGGGCTCGAGTGTCGACTAGGCGTCTGTGGCGCTAGCATGTCTGGTCCGAGTTCCGACTGAGATTATGGGCTGGTGCCGGACGTGGTTTGTCCAGAGTTTGTTTAGCTGCGCTGAAGCGAAGGTCGCATTACAGGCGTGACTTTAAAAAGTGTATCGACAACGTCTACACTAAATAAAGTCAATTAACTACCGACCTGAAACTACCCTTAAACTCTTCACCCACGAACTCTGCCTGAGACTTTCGTGAAAACGACCGTAGGGGAAGTTGGGGCAATGCCGGAGTTGTGGCAAAGCCGAAATTCGAGATATTTCGAAAACCGTAAGACATGGATGCCACCTGTCAGTGATGCTCTGAAGCTTAAGTGACTACAATTATCGCATGTTTGTTACCAGTCGTCATTCGGAATACTTCGGCTGTGAGGGCGCCAAGAGCGTTTTCAAGGTACGCGTTCCTTGTACTACATGCGCCTTTGAAGCTGCATTTCTTACTCATTATGCTACCGTTTGTCTGGCCAATTCGGTCAAGTAATCTTCAGCATGTCTTTGCATAAGTGTGCTGCCTATTTGAAATTTATACGGCATGTTGAAAAGTTATGGGCCTGCAAATGAAAGTATGGCTGGCTGGGGTAATGCCGAAAACGTGCAATTACGCACGTTAAAGCACGCTACGTGGACTTTACTGCTGTAGAATAGCAACGCGAATTTTTAGTCACACAAATTACACTTTCAACCGACACAACGGCCTGTTACCTATAAGGAATTATTTACCTGGCATTTTCTTATTATATCACACAATTTTAACTTACAGTGTGCACCAAGCGTCCTCAAGCTCTTAAAACGCGTGTCAGCTTTGATAAATTCTGGATAAAGTTTGAGTAAAAGTGGCAAAACATCAATGTCGGCATTCCCCGTAGATCATTTCTCCCATTTTCGGCTTTCCCCGCAGTCTGGGGCAACGCCGAAAAAGTCGCTTCTTTGATATTTTTAGTTTGTGCGCTTAACGGTATGCGAATTCATCAAATGCGCCTGGTATGTTTGAAAGGCAAAAGACTGGCCTCTCGAATGACGCCAACAAGAATAGCTTATGTTGTCTACCTTGCGTGCTACGGGCGTCAGAAAAAAGTATTCGGCGTTCCCCCAACTTCCCCTATTATTACTGCCACCAACACCAAGCAAAACCAATGGAGACTGCAACGCCCGAAAAGTAGGTGCAAGCTTTTGGAAATCGCGACTGCGCTTGTTGAAGACAATGGCTCATAATTTTTTAACCCGCGCCCCAGTGGCGGTCTCAGCCAACTTCGCCCTAGTGTGGGGGGGGGGGCATATGTTACCACCCACCTCTAACTCAAAAACTAAGAGGGCTAGAAACAAGCGGTAAAAAGCAGTCGATAGCTCTCAATGCGTACGTTTGAAAGTATTTCGGTCATTTTTCACCTTAGAGCAATATTGGGGTCACCAGAGGTCATCAAAGGTCAAAATTTGCCAATTGTCATTATATTTTTCAGAAAACATGCCGCTATCTCAGGAACTATGGTAGCTAGAATAACGCATGGAAGAGCAATCGATAGCTTTTGAACTCTTCTTTTGAAAAGGTCATTATCAATATTGACCTCAGGTCAACGGTTTAGCCTCCAGAGGGCAAAAACTCCAAAAATAGCTGTTTTTACAAAAAGTGTTTTTCGACAATAACTTTCGACTACAAAAAGCCACGACATTTCTATTGCCGGAATCGTGTTCCCCTCGCCGAGACGCGTCGAATGAACTATAAGTTGACCTTGAAAGGTCAACTTGAAAATTTGACCTCAGGTCAAGGTCAAGACCCTACCGAAAAAGGTCATGTTGCATATCAGTCGATGCGTCTCAACAAGGCAAACACAATTAGACCATCCCCAGCGTTCTATCTCTTTCCAATCAAGAGTTATTGGCAAAAAACTGTTTGTAGCCTCAAGTGACCTCGGATGACCTGTCTAGAGGCTATCAGCAAAAATGACACCTTGGTCATCACGAGTGGACTAAATCATTGTGATTCTGAAATATTTGGACTGTTCCGATGCGTACACACGGATCTAGAGGCATTTTCATTTTTCTCCATTGACTTGTAATGGAAAGGTCACGCCACTGACCTGACCTTAGGTCACGGATATAAAAATCCGAGATATAAAAATTGTAGGCGCCCATAATAGCATGCAATCCACCAAGTTTAAAACCTTTCTGACAAACACTGCAGGCTGGACATGATTGCAAACTTTTTTAGGCTTGTTCAGTTAACTTGACCTGGTGACCTTACCTGACATGACCTGGGGTCAAAATTTTCACACATTGTCCAAAATTGATGTGCGAAAAGCTACCCCAAGCGGCGCGGCGCTACGCGCCGCGGTTTTTTTATTCACACGCGAAAAACGCGACAGGGTGGTAACATATGCCCCCCCCCCCCCAACTGCACAGTAGGCGATTTCGCTATCCTAGCACTTCATGAGCTATATCTTAAGTTAGACTCAAAACCAGTCATCTTTAAACCCCTTATTTTGTGCCTAGTTTCATTGCGCTTCAACTGATATAAGTGTTTGCATCAGAAGTAATCAGGTTTTCTTTGCAACGTGCAAGAGAGCGAGCAATGCCTTTTCCCCATAGGCTTAACACAGGACAGAAGAGGCTTAACAAAAACATATACAGCGTTGTCTGTGTTATGACTTGTAACTTGTTTTATGTGGATGGCAGGCTTCGCCGTGCTTCAGGTCCGTTTCTGGCATGTGACTTTCCCCGAGATTGGAGGGAGCAAATCAGATGGTCGGAGGAAGCAGGGTACGCGTTTGTCAAACAAGCGGATCAAACTGATAAAGCCGATCTCCCTTTCTTCTCCCTCTCCCTCTTTCTCCTTCCTCCCTCTCTCTCCCTCTCTCTCTCTCTCTCTCTCTCTCTCTCTCTCTCTCTCTCTCTCTCTCTCTCTCTCTCTCTCTCTCTCTCTCTCTCTCTCTCTGCCTGCCTCCCCTCCCTCATTTCCCCTCTCTTCCTCTGCCTCTGCCTCCTCCTCTCCCTCTCTGCTCTCTCTCCTCTCTCTTCCTCCACCTCTGCCTGCATCTCCCTCCCTTCCCCTCTCTTCCTCTGCCTCTGCCTCCTCCTCTCCCTTTCTCTCTCTCTCTCCCTCTCTCCAGCTCACTCACTTGTCTTCGCCTGCTCACTCACCCGCTCACTCGGCTGCACACCCGCTCATCCGCTCACTCACCCGCTCATCCGCTCACTCCCCGCTCATCCGCTCACTCACCCGCTCATCCACTCAATCGCTCCATCATCCCAAGCCCGTTAATAGG